CTTGAATATACATAGCTTTGTAATAATATAGGGTAACGGTGACAGTATCGTCAATTCATTATGAACTGTCACCATCAACAAATTGAAATAGATTAGCAAAGCCTATATGTTTTTCGCCAGAATTGCGTAGTTTTTATGCATACTTTTGACTCATTTGACTACCATTGTCTACCAAATTGACAGCGTTGTTTCAAAATAAATAATAACTGGTGGAAAGATTCACCTTCAATTGGCGTGTGTCGTTCTTTGAAAATTATGAATAAAGTACCATGCCTCGAAATTGAAGATCACGGTTATCTACAAGCACTCGGACTTTTGAAGAAAGATGATAAACATACCAATTTAATGACTATACTTTTGAGAAATTAATTTGTCAAGTCCACTCGAAGTATGCATTTTCATCCTGACAACAGACCGAGATTTTTGAGACAAACAAATCGTAAACTTGCACATTATACCTAGTCTAGTGTAAAACATCCAAAAATTATCAAAACATTGAATACTTGATTTTTATTAAACCTTGTTCAAGAACTGCTTCTTAGACAAGGTACTTCGAACTGATAGATACTATTTATAAGATTGTAGTTTATCCAAAATGGTTGATCGGTTTCTGATAAGTGATTTGATGGAACAAAACTTCCAGGTTGGAGGTGACAAACCTCAAATGGCATAGGAAGGATTGTCCCTGCTAATCTGAATCATTTTTCCAATTTGCACGGTGCATCATTGTGGCTTTTGTCTTATGATTGTCTCGCTGAGAAAGGAGATTACACAAAGTATACTAGCGCCTTTTTTATGATATTGGTGCGTTTCCGAGTTTTAAGCACTGTGCCCTGGAGGGGTATTATGTAAAAAACCTAAAAAGCATTAGGAAAAAACGAACAATGTCATTTTGCTAAGTTAAAATCTTGTAGAAAAACCTATGTTATGTCACAAAAAAACCTACAAAATGTCAAAAAACGACAAAATGTCACTTTTGAAGATACCTAATACCTTGTACTTCAAAAAAAAAGTCGTTTCGTGCCTCTTGCCATCATCTGTCAATCAAAAATTGTCTTTTATTTTATTAATCTTTGCCGTGCCTTTACTGCAGATTTTCAAAAAAACAGTGCATAACTTGAGACATTGGCTAAAAAAATGTTTGCTTGAAAAGTGACAAGTAAAAGCCGTAAATCGTAAAGCCGTTGAGCTCATTTGATATTTCTGCACTGAGTGCAAAACCAGCACAAAGTTCAGAGCAAAGGAACTGGTTTTGTAAAAAAAAAGGTAAAGAATTCACCAGCAAAACCAGTTTCATCAAAAGAAAAACGCTAGTTTACGGTTGTACTTGGCCCGCAAAGCCTTGCTCAGAGTGTCACCAACGTTGCAGAACAAAAATAATAATGACATCACAAAAATAAAAAATGGCCAAGACTTTGAAATAACAAATAAATCCTCGTTTCGTTGCATAAGAGGGTATCTCGATTTTTCAGGAGGCACCTCCAGAGTTTTGCTTTAAGGGATTGAAAATAGAAGAAATGTACTTTTGAGAGGCTTACACTTTGTGTAAAATGTCAATAAACGATACAACAGATATACGAGGGGCTGTCGCTATATAGCTAGCTATATCTAAATATATAGCGAGAGGTCCTGGTATATCTCTACTATTAATGACTTTCTTCTGAGCTGATATCAACAGCGTATCATAGCACACATAAGACGTATGAATATATACTTATAATAACTTATAATTTTTAGGTTAGGTTAGCATCTGTAATAGGTGCTCTTGTGAAATACGCCTGTATGACATTATTAACGAAAATGCGTCTTACGCCCTTATACAAGGGGAGCGACGATTACATTTAAAAAGTACTCGTATAAAATAAATCGTCTTTACTTAGGATAAAGTTTAGATTATAGCTATTCTGCCACAAAATTAAATTAACATCAAAAATATATAAATAGAATCAAATGTGTTAATTATAATACAATAGTATACTATTATCTAGTAGTATTATATAAATATCACATAAATCCACCTATGATATCAAAATTGTTTTAGGATCTGCAGAGTTCATGTTCATAATTTAGAGAAATGAGGTGTAATTATTGTCTTTAAATGTCTTGTTCAGAAATGATTTTCTTGACTTGTTTCTTAAAATCGTGCACAAAACATAATAAGTGAAACTTAAATAATATTGTTACATCTAACCAATATGAACAAGGAATATCAAATGCCTCTCCAATAAGCCTATTAGAAGAAAAATAAGTTTTTTTTAATTGACTCAACTTTTGGTGATATACTAATAGATGTGAACAAAAGACTTTCCGGCGCATACGTCGCTTTCTATTTTTTCATATGCATTTCGCTGATTTACGATTCTGCACGGCGGGTGCTTATCAGAAGCTGAAGATTTATGAATGAAGAACAAACACGCAGGCGAGTCCTCTATAGGGTGTTATCGATGAAGATTTATGCGAGTTAATGATATACAAATGAATCGGCCGTTACGCGAAAGACATTAAGAGGGTGTGGAGTAGAAGATGGGAGCTTGGATTGTAATTTGACTGCTGACAGCAGTGACGAGTTAATGATTTCGGATAAATAATACATTCAATGCGTATCTGCATATAGGATGTGTGATTTATTATGCGTATTATGCATGCTGAAGGTGGTTATTAAAGTACCATGCTAGTTCCGGTTTGACAGCTAAGGCAGGGAGGTACTTTAGACTTTAGGCCATGCTGATTTCGTATGCCAGTGATGGCAAGCACCAACTAAGGTGATTCAAAACTAAATTAGTATGTTACTAAAATGTATAAAATTGGCGAATTTAGAGGATCTAGATTAATGATGAGATCGTATTTTTATGAATTACGTAAAAAACTGTATAAGATTTTAATTATATTTATCTTAAATTAACCACGTTTCGGCTAAATATTCAAACGTGTTGTAGTAGTACAGTAGTTTTGCATATAATGTTGCTATACAATATAATAGAATTACTGAGGCGTATAAAAAATATTTGATTCCCATGTTCCGTGAAAAGGTTAGACTTTTGTTAATTTCATCGATCGCTTGATCATGAATATTAGTTACATACTTTCATAAATATCATTGTAGCTCTGTATCTTTTTTTAATAGGCATTGGAATGTGATTTCACTATTTTAGAATTTTTTGAATTGTTAGTGTACCACTTAATGCATGTTGCGGATTGATTGGTTAAATGTAAGAGTAGCAAATGCTAAACTTCTCCCATCAGTCTGCTGTAAGGTTGTAATTCTGTTGATGAAGACATTTATTATTATTACTCACATTGGCAACTTCTCTCAAAGTAAAGACCACCCTGTCCGTCTTGTTTTTATTGAACACCATATAGTCTGCTTGCAGTGAACCATTTTTCTACCATCTCCTGTGACTTCATGGAACCCAACAACGAATCTTCAAGAGTTCCACCCCTGACAGGAATGGTTGGACTTGGTACATGAATTCGCGCTTGTAATTACGGCCTATCATTAGGACACACCCTATATGGTGAAATGAAAGACGAAAACAAGGTCTTTTCGAGAACCCCATGCGGCCAACGGTTTTCTATCGGCGATTTTGTCGTCTGACTTTAAGGAAGTTTATCTTGATTCGTCTGTGTTCAAGTGCATACTAATTTTTACTAGCGGGCTTATCTGAGATATCCCGACTTCGATAATAAATCGAGAAGCATTGAGGCAGTAGTCCATTTTTACATCCAAGGGATTTATGGAGCTTTTAGCTGCGAGTTTGTCTCGGTTGCTGGGGTTGCTGACCACTTCTAGTGGAAAGCAGATAGATTAACCGCCAACCTCCTGCTACTTAGAAATGAATAGGCGTGTCTGCTCATCCGATGTATTATCTCTCAAAAGATGGTGAATCCAGTATGTTAAATTGGTATGCCCCATGTTTTAATTATTGTTTAGTTGCAATGAAGTGACAGTTCATAATAATCCAGTAATTTGGAGCTCAAAATCATATAAAATCTGGTATGCTCTCTTTAACATCATTTATGTACCTTGTAACCTTTTAGTTTAAGCCGCCTTATCCTTTGTGAAAAAAATTGGTTTCTCAATGGGATGTTAAAATACCATACAATATTTTTACTTTGGCAATGAATTTTTTTCAGCCAGATTTTAATGTAATAGTGAATAAGTTAAAATGTTTCGATTTTTTATATACTCGACAAAAAATAAAAAGTTTACTCAAAAATTTATTTGATCACCTTGAAGTTTAAGGTCAGGTTAATTTTCTAGAGTGTACTTGAACCTAAAATTAAAAATAGACGTTTTTCGTTAAAATTCATTTGATATTCAAATGACCTTGATGGTCAAGGTCGAGGACAAACTCTTGCTTTGCTCTTTTTATGTCCCGTACCGTAAGTGATTTTCATGTAAGGAAACTATCTGACAAATGAGCGTTAAAATCATAGGCAAGGTCTCGTTCAAGGTCACCATTATTTGAACTTTTCCAAACCCTACAACTTTATTACACATTTTTCTTCATGAAACGTATTTTTCCAGATACTTTGTCCTTCCCTACTTTCTGGACACCTTTACAAGCTCATTAATATCATGATCAACGTCATGGGCAAAGACGTAAAACGTAAAATTCACCGCTCTTCACATTTCCGGCGTCAAAAACAGGGGTTTCTTATAAGAAGATCATCTTACACTTCAAATCCAACCAATGTTCAACTTTTTTCTCTAAGGGACGTATTTTTCGAGACACTATACGCCACACTTTTTGAACAGCCTGTATATGTTTGCGGATAAAGCTATGACTATAACCTCCCACGGGTTTCCCACGACATGAAAAATTGTCAATTTGGGGACAAATTGTCAAACATGGCAACCCTGTCCGTCATAGACAAGTGGGCGTTGGGTAATGCGCATTCCTGCATGTCATCTGGAGTTTCGTCAGGCATGATGTAACGTATTCTTGCGTGACTTGAAAGCAACCCCTACAAGGTAACATAACACAAATTGAAAACCACAAATAAATGCAGACCCCTTTTATTTGTAACCTACGTAAATGCAATCAATGCATATTTAATCACTAATACACATCCGATATCTCCAACAACGAGCTCTTCAGTTCAGCAATGGACTGCACGTATCTTCTTTCTTTCTCAGCTCTTTGTCTTCCGTCTCCCTAGAGAAGAACAGAGTATTAGAACCCTTATCATAGCAACGTACGGCGTTTAACAGACAGGAATATGTCAAACCTATTTCAACATAGTTACAAGTTAAGTTTGATTCCCGTTCCAAGTTGCTAAAGGACCTGAATATTCTTTTGAGTCAATAAGTAGATCAGATCACTTCAACCTATGTAGATAAAGATGATCATATTTCACAGTTTTTTTTATATCTCGGTATATCTCACATAAAGTCAGACCACTTTACGTGGTCCTTTCATGTTTAGTCTAGAAAGCCTTTTAGATTGTCGAAACATCTGATTGCCTCAGCATTCTCTTGGATTGACTGTCAGCTTCAGCATGCTATGTCTGATTAGGTAAAATGACAGGTGACACTTACTAAGTACGTGACCAGTTGGGGCTGACCTTGGACAGATATTCTAGCTCGGACACATGTCTGAGGCTGCTCGTCGCAGACGACGTACGCTTGTCGAATTCCGGAATATTGGTTTTTGGTGTTTCTCCAGTAATTCAGAAGTGCCTAAATGGTACAATAGAAATTACTAGTTTTCAAAAAAATAAATACATAATTTTCACCGTCAAATGCTTTGAGTAACGTTCTTTTAGCTTATAAAAGCGATAATAATATTTATATAAGTATATATATAGGTGAAAAATTAAAGCTTCCGCCTTTTGTTGGGTACTTCGACAAAATTTAAGCAAAGAGGACTCTTTATACTTTTTTTTAATTCTCTCTAGCTTTCAATGGACTTTGCCATCATCATCAGGAGCTGCAATTACAATGATAACAGTAGCAACAAAAGAGTAAAATGAATTTAAATTGAATCAACTTACAGTAGTATGTGAGGATGTTGCTAATTGTTGTTTTCGTATAGGATGAGGGAAACTTCCAGTAACATGATGAGAGCTGGATAAATGGTACAATGGTTAAAATTATATAAAATATGAGAAGACAAGTTAAAGACAGATTAAAAATTATTTAGAAAACATTAGAGCATTACGTCGTGAAGCCACTTGATGATTGCACAAAATGCTCTAATGTTTTCTAGATAATTTTTAATCTGTCTTTAACTTGTCTTGTCATATTTTATATAATTTTAACCATTGTATCATGTATCCAGCTTTCACCACGTTACTGGACGTTTCCCTCATCCTATACGAAAACAACAATTAGCAACATCCTCACATACTACTGTAAGTTGATTCAATTTAAATTCATTTTACTCTTTTGTTGCTACTGTTATCATTGTAATTGCAGCTCCTGATGATGATGGCAAAGTCCATTGAAAGCTAGAGAGAATTAAAAAAAGTATAAAGAGTCCTCTTTGCTTAAATTTTGTCGAAGTAGCCAACAAAAAGCGGAAGCTTTAATTTTTCACCTAACTGGTCTAGACGACAATGACCACGTCTCAAGTTATTTATATATATACTACAACCGTAAACTAGTGTTTTTCTTTTCATGAAACTGGTTTTGCTGGTGAATACTTTACGTTTTGTTTACAAAACCAGTTCCGTTGCTCTGAACTTTGTGCTGGTTTTGCACTCAGTGCAGAAATATCAAATGAGCTCAACGGTTTTACGATTTACGGCTTTTACTTGTAACTTTTCAAGCAAACATTTTTTTAGCCAATGTCTCAAGATATCCTCTCTTTTTTTGAAAATCTGCCGTAAATGCACGGCAAAGATTAACAAAATAAAAGACAATTTTTGATGGACAGATGATGGCATGAGGCACAAAACGACTTTTTTTTGAAGTTCAAGGTATTACGTATCTTCAAAAGTGACATTTTGTCGGTTTTTTGACATTTTGTATGTTTTTTTGTGACATAACATAGGTTTTTCTACAAGATTTTAACTTAGCAAAATGACATTAGTCGTTTTTTCTTAATGCTTTTTAGGTTTTTTACATAATACCCCTGCAGGGCACAGTGCTTGAAACTCGGAAACGCACCAATATCATAAAAAAAGGCGCTAGTAAACTTTGTGTAATCTCCTTTCTCAGCGAGACAATCATGAGACAAGAGCCACAATGATGTACCGTGCAAACTGGAAAAATGATTCAGATTAGCAAGGACAATCCTTCCTATGCCATTTGAGGTTTGTCACCTCCAACCTGGAAGTTTTGTTCCATCAAATCACTTACCAGAAACCGATTAACCATTTTGGATAAACAACTACAATCGTATAAATAGTAGCTATCAGTTCGAAGTTCCTTGTCTAAGAAGCAGTTCTTGAACAAGGTTTAATAAAAATCAAGTATTCAATGTTTTGATAATTTTTGAGATGTTTTACACTAGACTAGGTATAATGTGCAAGTTTACTTTTTGTTTGTCTCAAAAATCTCGGTCTGTAGTCAAGATGAAAATGCATACTTCGAGTGGACTTGACAAATTACTTTCTCAAAAGTATAGTCATTAAATTGGTATGTTTATCATCTCTTTTCGAAAGTCCGAGTGCTTGTGGATAATCGTGATCTTCAATTATATATATATATATATATATATAACTTGAGACGTATATATATATATATGTATAACGATATTTAAAGTGCTGCCATAAAACACTCTTGAGTTGAGGACGAGAGCACATAAAGATATTACAAATACTGCATATTCTGTAAGCTCACCCACATGGCTCATACAGAACAATTTACAGGGGCTGTTTTAAAAATAAGGGTTGGCAACGTTGTAACTTTGCGATGCTAGGCGAAATCTGACTTTTTTTTATTTCAAAAAACAATTTTAAGTCATCAGCAAATAGCAATGTTTTGCAATGGATGCTGCTACTTATATCGTTGACAAGTGACGAAAAAAGATGATCACCTGTGGTACTCTTGAAGATGATGTATTTCGAAAATACTAGAAGCCATTGTATGATTATGAAAATAGGATCTTAATAAGGATGTCGTTATCCTAGATTCATAGTTGTATGAGCAATGTTTCTAAATATTCTTCATTCCGATAAAAACAGTAGAACAACAATAGAAAGGATGGCGTAGGTGTAATGACTTATTGTTCATACCAAGACCTACCAGGACAGGTTCGAAAAGCCGGGGCTGAACCTAAGACTTATAGGGCAAGATCATAAGTATTGAATTCGTCTAAGCCAGCGACCGAAAATCAGCTAGCTCGAAAATGTGCAGCTAATCATCTTACAGGTCCAGAGCTTTTTCTGGTGTGACAAGAACGCGCATCAAGTTGTTCTTATAATCGAACAAAGTCTCTAGAATGATGGAACGGCTAGTTGCGACAGAGGCAGAGACAAGAGTTCAACATAGAACGACAACCTCCATTTGTGTAAGACCTGCCCAGACAATGGTGGGCCGAAATGAACGTAATTGCTTGCCATCCATGTAGCCACGACCAACCATAGACACCTCTGATTCATGTTCATTAGCAACTCGTCAGTGTGGTATATGTATAGGTCTCGTAGTCCTGGAGACAGATGAGTCAAGTAACTTCGTATGATCTTTTGAAAAACTCAAAATGATGTGCAGAAGTCGGCGAAAAATCTGACGGCGTCTAGGTGACACGACATCTATCTGTGCATTGCGCAGAACGTCGGGCAGTTATGAGCCAGAGGCGTAGGGTAGGGGCTTTGTGACATCTTCATCCTATGGAATTAAGGTGAAGATCAGGCTGGCAAGCCATCGGCAAACCATTAGTAAGTGGAAATTGTCCGATTTTTCGACTACTTCAGCACAATAGTTATCAAAATCGACATGTGAGACTCTGGGTGTAGCAAAAGAGATCATGTGCCGATTCTGCAGAGATCATTAGGAAACCCCAGTGCATCTATTGTGTCACTACGAAAGCCTGACAAATTAAAGGTTTTGGATATTCAAAATCACGAAGCCAATAGCAGATAGCTACATGCAAAGCTATGTGTAGAGAATTTGGAATCTGATTAGATGGTCAAGGGTTGACACAGAGATTTAGACATACTATACAGCATATCCTCAAAGATGGAACTTTCATTCCGATCCCGCCTCCCTTCCTTTCTACGTCAAGTGGTACGATCTTTTGTAGTACCACGACTACGTGAATCAATATCCAAATCACTTAAGTTACAAGCAAACCGCATTTAAATTTTCGCAATAACGTAGATTTGTTGTCGGTGTACTGTGAGCATCTTTAAAATCCTGTTGATGCTCCTGAAGTGAGTTTGTGTTTGAGTATTTAGAGCGTGGCCCTCGTCCTTGGTATTTCCGTCAGAGCCGTGTAGGTTTGTTTATATCGTATACTAGTAGTATAATTACGAAATAAACATGTGACAGACCAGTACTTGAAATGCCATACCAAATAAATAGTGAGTATTCTCTTTAATTTGTTTGTCGCATCTTTCGTGCTGCTTTACGACAAATGGTCTTTGTTATTTCAAACGCAGTTGTTTCTGGAAAGGAATCTCCAATTCTTCATGAATAAGAAAGTGTATAGCTCACCTCACATTCTGGATTAGAAAGGCAACTAGAGTCTACAAAGAGCACAGCTTCGATATTGGCTGACGACCTTGCTGAAGACAGTCCAACAGGCCCTTTGAACTCAGCAAATAGGTCGTCAGTTGATGCCAGCTCTGATATGTCCATTTCTGGAACGCCGTCGGTCAATGGTGCTGCAAAGAATAATTACAACTAGTTGTTAATAATTGGCTAATTGCTCACAATGTGCTGTTATTAATAATAATTTTTCTAACTCTACCAACGTCATGTCTGGTGTTACACAAGGGTCTGTTTTGGGACCTTTGTTATTTCTAATAAATATTTCCGTTTTTCCTTCTGTGATAGCTAAACTCTACAATACAGTTATTTGCAACCCGGTTGGTCCTCCATTTTGGTCTGCATGATCAACAAGCAGTCCATCCCTATCTTGCTGAAGCTATAATGATTTTATTTTCTCAATAATGCTCAAGTCAGTCTCTTAGACTCCTTGATCTACAGACCTTTTGTCCATTGAACATGTGTAGGATATGTTGCAAAGAAAAGTCATCTCCATAGCCTCATCCTCTAGAGACGATAGCAGCTCTTCATGGTTAGGATGATATACAATGTCATGTTTAACTGTATATAAAATATCGTAAAAGTCAAGTCATTTTCAGTGGGTATATTTACATAGCGTGCTCTATCACCAACTTACCTTCTCTTACTGGTTTTGGCAAAATGTTTCCAAAGTGGGTCTCCAATTTGTTAATGAACTCATCAATAACGCCAACAGTCTTCATCATCACTGAGTGGTGTAGTGTAGAGGAAACGTGAGTACGTATAAGCTGAGCTTGGAAGTCCACAGTTTCTTTCTTGATTTGATGTAAAGGTAGGATCAATTCCGAAGGTACCGACGTCGTCTTGGTTTCACGAATCACCTGCAGCAGCGCATCGAATAGAGGACCGTCTGATTGATGAGGCTGGTGGGCCTGTAGAGACCTGGCCAGTATAAACAGAGCTGTGTTGAGGGTTGGATACTGTTCTGGCGGCATTCTGCTACCGATAAGGATTCGAGATGGTTTCAATGAGACGCGGTTCACTGCAAATATAGTCAGCGCTACTCTCACGTTTTGTAAGAATTGTACCACCTGCAATAAGTAAAATTAAAGCGATAAACATCTGCTGAAATCCACTGACGGTCTTGATAAAGGTGGAAGTAGGATCTAGAAAACTAGTAGGTTGTATGACCTAGAAGATCTGGGTAGTCAATATAAAACTGTCTGATACGTTTCTCTAATATCTTTGGAATGAAATGAATTAGACTGCTATCCTTGTCTTTCGTGGATAGGTAAACATTACCTAGTAGTCGCATCTGGAAGCAGTCCTTAAGAAGGCAAGGATCTCGGTATGGAACTGCCTAAGGGTCTGTGGAAAGAACTGAGGAATGAAACCTGTTTTGGCTTTATACCATGTATCTGTAGCTTGGTGGGGCAAGGTAGCACAAAGAACTGTCCAAGCTAAACTGAGAGAAATACAGAGAAAAGCTTGTATGTTCATCACTGGAGCCTTCCGTACCTCACCTACTGCAGCTAAAGACGTCCTTCTTAATTTACCCCTCTTGCACATATACCTGGAAGGCGAGGCAAGCAGGTCATCTTATAAACTATATCATGTGGCAAATGGTATAATGGACAATATCACTATGGAGGAAACGGTGGTGGACTTACAAAACCACCACAGTCTGGAATTATATCTGATATAATGCCAAAGCAAACAAATATGCTAAACCCTACTCAGTGGCAAGTCCACACAGGTGGCTCAAAGACCGAGGTAGGTGTTGCAGCTGGTATCTTCGTGCCGAAGCTAAAGATTAGAAAAACCGTTAGCCTAGAAACCTGATCATCGATCTCCCAGGCTATATATGCTATATATGCTATATATGCTATAGAACTGGCTGCCGGAATGGCAACTGAGGCACCGAACTATATTTATTTTTTCAGACAGTCAAGCCCCACTTAAAGCACTTGACTCTACCTGCTCGACATCGAAATTAGTGTGGAGTTGCAAAGAAGATCTCGGTGGCATAAGGGAGGGAAATGGAGTCCGTCTCATATAGATACCAGGAGACACAGGCCTAGAGGGAAACGAGACAGCTGACACTCTGGGAAAGAGGGGGGCTAGCACACTCTTCATAGGGCCTGAGGCAGCGATTGGTTTCGCATACAATACGGCTAAACAAATAATCTCTGCAGAGATGGACAGAAAGATCCGTCAATACCGGGATGGGTTAGCAGGGTTAACCCATGTTAAGGCAACTGTACCAATCTTGACAAGGAAGGTTACAGACTCTTTGCTATGGCTGAACAGGAATAGCCTCAAAGCTCTAGTAGGAACGTACACTGGTCATTGCAAATTGCTTCACCACATGAGCAGGCTGGGCATGGCGGAAGAAGGTTGAGTGCAGACTGTGCATGGGGGGAGATGAAACGGTCAGGTATGTATTGTGCAGATGCCATGCAATTGCTAGAATCAGGTACACCATACTTGGCCACGTAGTACTCCCAGCAGAAGACCTGAAGGATATTTCTCCAAACAGGTTGATCGACTTCCCCAGGAATTCGGAGCTACTGGGGGAAATATAAATAGATGTGAGTCACAATAGACCAAAGAGTAGCAGTGGAGGATCGTTATTTATGCTCTCACAGGAAACCTAACCTAACCTATCTAGTAGTACAGGGTCGCTGATATATAACTGACAGATCTGTTTCTCTAAAATTTTTGTAGTTAAATGGAATAGTTCCAACTTCTATGGAAAGTTGAGGATTATTTTAAAAAAATGGCGTCAAGGAGATTGCACTATACAAGTTCCAGAAGCTTCAAGATTAATGCGAGAAGTTTTCATGGAATCCATGAAGCTTTTCAGCAAGTTGATCTAGAGGAAGAGTCTGACCTTCCTTTGGATTCAGTATATAAAACTAACATAGCTTCTTACCCTAGGATGTTTTGTGTAACCATTATCTTCGGTGATGGACCTAGTGAGATGGTAGAAAGCGATGCTCAATCCGTAATGCAAGTGATCATTATTTGGATGTCGTACTAATGAGCTTACGATCTTTACAATAGTCTGGACTTGTCTCTCTTGGAACACCTTGTGCTTAATGGACACCAGCAAGTTTTCGTACAGTTTAGTCAAGCGTTGTGACTCGACTTGTTGAACTGTAACGCGCAGACTTTTGAATATACCCTGTACTAAAGCTGGTATGACTGGTCTTACGTTCGAGAGGAACACATCTGTGTTTGAGTGCAGGTTTTCGATCATAACCGAGAATAGTCGGTGTAAATGTGTCCTGGCGATGTCTTGTGGCAGTCCCATCCTTTGCAGGTATCTCCCAAAATCGTTCACTATGTAGTCAGGCTTATTCTGTGGTCTGTTCTTCATGCACGCTATCTCCCTCACGTTGTTCACCAAATAATCAAATGCTAAATATTGTCTTACATCGACCTGATAAGATGAGCCACCAAGGACATGTAGCAGGCTTGCGACACTTCTAGATACCGATGTTTGACTTATTGAGCTGCATTGGAAGCTGCTATGAACTGGAGCCACAACTTGCTTCAGTAGCTCTACAAGTGTGTTAGGGTTAGCTTTTGTTGAAATTGCACGCACAAGAGGCTTGAGCTGCTCAAAGCAAGGTTCCCAGGTGTTCACTTGTATTTCTTGGACGACAATTCTTCTTACTACATTCACCAACAGGTTTCTCAGACCAATGTCTAGAGAAACTCGCTTAGCTGGAATGACTACGTGTCCCCAGTGAATATGTGCAGCTTGAGACACTTGTACAATATGGCGATGCAGGACTGAGATCTCAGGTGCAGTTCTTGTCCTTAGCACGTATAGAATAAGCTGCTGGAAAGTCTGGGTGAATTGTGAAGACGGCGCGCAACCATACAGCCCTGATATCTTTATCAGCAGTTTCTTGATGATCAGAGAGACTCTTTGTGGTTCTCTGTGGTAAACTCCAGAAATCCTTATACCTGCAAGAAATACAATGTTACTATTGGATATGAATTAAACCTTGGATAATATAAATGGCAACACTGGCTTGATGATGCCGGCATATTAGCTTCGACCATTAACTTAACTCCCTATCTCCATAACACAAATTAGGCATCACTAGATAACCCTAAACTGGTCCTGCCATTTACACTTCCTATAATGTCCCAGCTGTGCAGCATACTGTATATGCATGGTTGTTATCCTAGATGATGTGCTGTTTCCAGTAAACAAGCGTGCACTTCATGAAAATAAATCTGTACTTCAAAGCCAGACTAGGTTAAGTCCAAATTCTGGTATTTTAAGTTTAATATGAAAATAAATCTGTACTTCAAAGCCAGACTAGGTTAAGTCCAAATTCTGGTATTTTAAGTTTAATATGCTAAGCAGGCCTCTGGCTGCCTAGAGCAAAACAAGGTTACGTCATAGTTTGGCGCGTATAATATTTTCAGTGTACTATGTTATGTTTGTTATAATTTGCCTTACACAGCTATTTATATATATATATATACATAAAATATAATATGGATATGAATACAGAATAAATAATATCATAGCAAGAACTGTTTCTTATATATAGCAATAGCATAATGTCTTCCAGATCTAAAAGAATGGTAGATCTAGCTAAGAACTAATCGCAGAAACTCAACTGTCGTTTTGCAATAAGAGGTAGGTGTAGTATGTACGAGCCCCTTCCCACTTCACTTGGCCAAACTATTGAAATCTTAGTTTTTTTCTTATCAAACACAAATAATAACAATGTAGCAGGGTGTTATAGGTTTAAAATATTAACAATGAATGTTTTGATAATATATAGTAGAAAACACCCACTTTATCACTCCCTAATCAAATTTGCATCATAAAAATAACACATGTTGTAATTACAGCATAATATCAACCTATTTTCATTTCAATGCAAGTCTAGGTGGCTGTGAAAAATAAAAGCCATGACAATTGTTTTTATTAATCACAGCTGTCAGAATACGTTAAAAATAGTTTTGGGTAGTTAAGGTTTTCAAAATGGGTAGAGGAAAGGTTATTAATAAGAAAATTCGGTTACTGATAATTACATTTTTTAATTCTGGGAAATCAAACTCAGAAATTGCAAGTTTGTTAGACTTATCGCGGTACAGTGTGAGAAATATTGTTAAAAGATATAACGTAACGGCTTCAGTTAATATTAAGCCACGATATGTAAAAAAAAGTAAGTAAGAAGAATAATCGTGAAAAACAGGCGTGCCAATTATTTTTGTGTTCTGTGGAGTGACGCTGTTGGAAGGAGAGTTTCGAGGTCCACAACTCATAGAGAGGCCCACAAACTAGTATTTAGCACTTTCAAGGTAAATTTTCTTATAAAAAAAGTGAAGTAAAGACCCTAAAGTTACACAACTTGTTTATAGGCCAAAGAAAAGCCACTATTAACTCCACTGCAAAAGAAAAATCGGCTTAGATGGGCTAAAGAGCATAGACAATGGACACCTCAACAATGGTATGCAATACAATGGAGTGATGAGGCCCGATTCGAAGTTTGTGTTGGTGACAGTTGCAGTAGAGTTATTCGCAAAAAATGAAGCATTCCATGTTGACTGTCTGAAGAGAAAAGTGAAATTCCCAGCTTCCATTATGGTCTGGGGCAGTATGTCATCAAAAGGAGTAGGAAAACTTCATTTTATTGATGGAAATGTAGATACAAACAAATATTTGGCAATTTTAGAAGAATCGATTTTACCAGTGATGGAAGAATGTTTGACATCCGGCCAAGATTTTGTGTTTCAGCAAGATGGTGCAGCGTGCCATACCTCAAAAAAGGCTATTAAACGGGTGGAAGAAAATAATGTACCACTTTTGAAGTGGGTTTCTAGCAGTCTAGATCTGTCACCTATCGAAACTTTCTGTCACGAGATGAAAAAGGTTCTACGACAACATCCTGCTCGTACAATCACCGAACTGAGACAAAAGCTTCAAGAAATATGGGATTGTTTTACACCAAATTTTTGCCAAAACTTGGTTAAAACTATGCCCCAAAGAATTTCAGCCGTAATAAAAAATAAAGGTGATGTTACCCAATGGTAATCTTTCAGCTGTTGCTTTGTTAACTTCGCGCATTTATTCGCACATTGTCTATTTGTTCAGATGTTCTACTAGTTATAGGTCTAAGTGACTTCAAATATGTATGTATTTTTCACGACTATAGTGTATCTAAAATGTTTGTGAGAAAATAAATTGTTTTGGAAGTAAATAGTTTCGTCATGTTTAGTTTATCAAGGCATATTTTGGTACAAATCTTGAAGTGGGCCAACTGAAGTGGGAAGGGGCTCGTAGTTTTCAATTAGCAGCAGGCTCAGTTCTGTGCTCAAGTTGCGACACATCTGTTCTACATAGATTTTTCAGAAAAATGTTGAACGTACTCATGTGACAAGTGGATGAAGATTTTCTTATTTCTCAGGCATGTCGTAAGCAGGCGCCATAAAATAATCCTGGTATTTTGTACTATAAAAGAAACTTCAAGGAGGATTTTACAGAAGTTTTCAACATAACAACGCGACGTGTAACCGGCTGCTCTGTGAACCTAGAATGCATTAGAGATTGCCGTAAGCCAAAATATTGAAAGAAGTATAATCATCTACCGAACTACCTGTTTGGGTTTCTAAAGGGTTCTATCAGTTTCCTAAAGATTTGAAACACGCAAATATCATATAGTGTGATTAGCTTAACATCACCTATGACTATTCCTGTACTGAGTACGTGGAATGAGCTGACATAATTTGAATCATATGTTTTTTATCTGACTCAGTTTGAGTTGTACGTTGTTTAGAGAGTAACTGTAAAATTGTTTATTTTCACTTTATAATATAAAAATATTGCTATGTTTTTTCGGATTAAGGTGATGCTTGATTACCATCCAGGAAAATATAGTATACGTCCATAAAGTAATAGTCTTGTGGACCTGGTCTCTTTCTTATGGACTTATCTGATGGTTTTAATTCACCGTTTAATATTGTTCGTGCATGATACATGACAATATTTGTAAAGTCAGAATTTTCCTTTTTTTTTTTTCAAAGCCAAATAAGGTTGTCCCAAACATGATAAAAAATTATAAAATAACAGAATTACGTTAAACTTCTTGTTCTTATCCACCAAAAATAGCTGTATGAAATAATTTCATAGCATACCTAGTGGCGGCGCGATTGTCAAATTTCTGTTGATGGACTCTTTAATTGTCTCTACTGAAAAATTAACTTTTTGTGCTTAACCCAGTCTGGCTCTGAAGTACATAAATGTTCTTATAATTTTTGTTGTGCATTTGTGGTCAGTTGTATGGTGACTTGAGTCCACTATGCAAAATATCAACGGTCTCAATTGTGAGTTCTTACAAGCTTACCGTTACGTGCATGTCCTCTAGTCAACACTCGGATAAACAGATGAATTATACAGCGGAACCTATTGGTATATCCTACTGTGTAAAAAGATCAACATACCTGACAGCAAATCGGACAAATCAACGATTTCTCTAACTTTCTTGAGCGTGTCACTATTGCCAGGAACCACAACACCGTTGTTGATCCTAAGTACCAGCTTTATGGAGAAGGACAACCTTTCTGAATGACTGATGGCATCGTTGCTAATAGCTGAGAGGCTGGTATCTAGAACTTCCTTGATATTTCTCGTCAGATCAAGGCCACTGTAGTCGTCGAGGAACAGCAAAATGCCTTTCTTCACGTTATCCAGAGCTGTGATCAGGTTGAGGTCCCACAATTGGCTTAAGCTGTGTTCACCAGCTGGAACCCAAACTGATGGCGCACGATTACTGCAAGTGTCTACATACCCTGGTCTGAGGTACTCGTATGGAGCTGGTAAAGATTGCACGCTTGGTTTCATCACTGTGCTCTCTACCGTCAAAGCCAGCTTCAGTAGTATCTGCTGGAGCATGTTTTGAATCTCATACTCAATCTTTATGTTTAATGTTACCTGGAGGAACTTGATGTAGTCTTGAGTTAGAGGTTGAATTTTGACTGTAGGACGTCTAGTGACGCAAGAGCATTGGTTTCGCAACGTGGCAAGTACAATTTTTGTACGATAAATGATCTGTTGCTTTTGATTTGGCACAACTTCCTTGCCCAGTAGTTCCAGTAACCAATTGGTTAAGTATACGCTAGGATTATTCAGTGTGTCATCCTTGTTCACAGCATAGCCTTGCAGATGAATCACCATTATATTTAGGACTGCGGATAGATGCGACTCGTCCACGTTATTATTCAAAGGCTTCAGAACCTGAACGATACCTGAAAATAAAAAAAAAACAGGTGTGTACAGGTGTGCTAATAACATGCGATATTGTCAATTTCATTTTTGCCTTGAACTTTAAAAAAGGAAGCTCACGCGCAGAAAGGCAAAGCTATAATCTGGCCGGCCAAAAATTAGTTTCACGAAATGCAGCAGAGGTGAAAAAACCCTATCGAATAGTGAATTAGATTAGTGGGGGATTCAAGTTATGTGCACCAATCGTATCGCTGGTTAATCATATTGAAGGGTTCTGTGATGTACTGCGTTTATTTTGTTTTGCATCAAAAGTAATTTTGTGAGTGCACCAAAGGTTTTATTCAGATGAGCTCTGACAGGTATAATAAAATGAGGAGGACCTCCATTGTGCGAAAAAATTATTTGGTTATGTATATATAGATGAATTTTTTCTGGCAGTACGAGCAATTCTTGTTGAAGAAACTCTAAGTAAGATTCGCCGGTTAACCTTATTAATAAAAAGAAAGGAGTTACTATAATCACATGCATACCTTAAATGCATGTCTGTCATTTCCTCAAAACTGTAATTTTCCATCACAAAAACCGAGACAAAAACTTTTTAGAGAAATTTGCAAAGAAAATCACGTGAATTTTTCTAGAAGACCTGACGCGCAAATGTCAAACCTTTGTGCAGAAATGATTTTTTTCCAATGCATTTGTAATTATTGTAGCAAAAATCAATAAACCAATTTTGTCCAAGGACATGCAATAAATCTGTTTTTATTTTTTTTTCTCGAAAACGAAGTGAAGTACGAAAAAAGTACAAGAGGCAAAGAAGTTGTATTTTTAGATGCCTAATCAAACAGCAAATATTAAAGTTACAGAAAACGCAGTGGCGTTTTTTGCCAACAATATTCGCTAAGGTGCCCCCCGGGATGCCACTGGACCTAATAATTTTAATCTAATCAGGGCTAGGTTATCTTATTACAACAAATAATATTGCCAAATATTAACAGAATCTATTGGATATTTTTCAAGATATTGATAAATAAAATATTTATCACCCTGTATCTTGAAAATTAAACATTTCCGGGCCCATGTTTATAGAAACCTTTTTTCATATTTCAAATTCAAAATATCGCCGTCTATTTTTCGAACACCCTATATAGATCTTATACCTCTGATAGAGGTTGCATTTCCCCCGTTTGTTGTCCTACCTAAATCGCGCTAATGATATCCAGCAAGCATGAAATAACTGGTGCCAAAACGGAATGGCATAATACATCGCATGCCACTACGTTTTGTTGAATGCAGCAGAAGTACCAATACATCGTGCTACCCATGTGGCTACTCGGGCTCACTCTAAGTGCATATTATGTTATATGATGTCATACCTGAAATGATTTCTCTGGTGTATTCTCCCAGTGGTCTAGGTGACGATTCCTGGAACCATCTCACAATCGCCTTGCTGAGTACAAAGAACCGACTGTTTAGCTCTGGCAGTGGTTCCCTTTGGTGTGGTCGTAATACATTCGTGAACATCAAACACATTCTGGCAACAATGTGCCTCAGTTGGTCTATATTTCTCGGTTGGTTGACAGCTTGTATCAAACCTGAAACCCAATCCCTTACAGCAGACACCAAACTACCAGCTGTCACGTCATCGGTGATTACATGTGGCTGGAGAACTCCTAATAAGTGCTGAATAGTGTAGAGCAGATGTTTGTTCAAACGAGAGTTCACAGAGTTAGCGAAGGCAACCTGGGTGAAGATCTTCCTTATTGCTATCTTTAGTTGGCGTTTTTTGTATACTTTGCCTGACAGGGAAGTTTCTATGCGGGCTAGTGATTCTGGTAAAGGAACATCATTTTCACATCTTTGGTTTCTGAGTTGTCTGACCATATTGATTAATCTGTAGGACAAATCAACCGGCACGTCTCTACCAGCCAAAGTTATAAGCAGGCGTTGCAAGTATGTATGTGAGTTGTATGGCAGGATCTCTGAACATTTGGTCATTTCCTTTACTATGGGTGGTAGACGGTACAAAAGCACTTCCAATTGTTCTAACGATATTTCGGCAACCCTTTGTTGCTTCTTTAGCTCTTCCACGTACCTGCATACTGTATTTCGGTATTCCTGTATTTCTGTGGCATAGCGAACGATGCTCTTCACAATCGTGATTTTTATTTTTGAAACCAGTGGGTGGGTAGGTGCTTGCAAAACTGGTGAATTTTGCAATACCTTCGATATGTCAGCTATAATACTATTAACTGAAAGCACTACATTTTGAACCTCCCTCTTTCCGTGATGCACATCCCTAACCAGGATCAATCCTTTCACGATTGTACTCCTAAATTGGTTAACCACCACGTGCGGTATACTGAATGCACCCGTTATCAAACTGGCAAGCCTCAATCCAATATTGTTAATCTCATAATTATTAGGAGTATTTATTATCGTCCTTCTATAGAACCTTTTAATGAACATGCTGATCTTAGCTAGTTTCTCAGGTGAGACAGGTGCATTAGATGTACCAGTTAGAGCCGCTAGAAGGTCCTCAATGTTGCCCCACAAATTTTTGTCGAGATCATGGAAAAGCGCGGATTTCACAATTGGTTGGACAAAGAGGTCCGTCATATCTGGCTGTTTCTCTATGCCCCAATATTTGAATAAGGAGTACTCAAAGTCTTTCACGTATCTGTGGATCAGAGAATTGCTGCAACTGGCTTTAAGTGAGCTGTCAAGAACATGTAATTGTTCAACTACCTCTTTCAGCACTGATAACTGGGCATCTGGAAAGTCCAATTTCAAATTGTGTATGTCATGTCTCAGTTGCACAATTTCCCTGTTTGTACAATCTCCATTATTTGTCACCGAGGAATATATTTTTCTTACTATCTTTTCAAAGATTGAGTTCTGATGTCCGGCCAAGAGTCGTGGAAGACGTTGTTCTGACACCTTGACTTGATGAACCATCTTGATAACGCTATGTATGTAAGGAATCAATTTCTGAGGGGTCAGTCTTGGTCGGTGGGGCAACTTGTCCCATATCGACTCCAATTGCTTTATTAGGGGTATAACCTGTTTGAGAATCTCATCAAGAGGAGATGTAGATGGCATAAGTATTTTTGAGAACAATTTTGACAAAACACCTTCGATCACTCGAAGAATGCTCGGTTGTGCGTTACGCAGGGAACTTAGGATTACTTTAACCAAAATATCGATTGTTCTTGGATTATTTTGTGGTACTGTAGTATGTAGTAACGAAGCTGTTAGACTGTACACCTGTCTAACTACTTCACAAAGTCCAGGGCGGTAGCCAATGAGCGTACCGACAATCCTTTCAATGCTGATTTTGATGTCAATTTTGATTCTATTCACAATTTTAGCTGTCTCAACAACCTCTGGTAAGAGTGTCAAGGGCTGATTCCCACCAACAAGCGTTTCAAGTGTCTCCTTCAAGGGAGATACAGCGTTGAGTACAGGTTCAGGCGTTGGAATATATGACGGTGTGTTGTCGTCAGGATTATTTCCATAATAGAGATCCCAGTCTATCGAAATTTCCGAATAGTAGCTTTCTACGACGTCTGGCATTTCTGGAACAGCCAGTTCAGTGCTAGGTTCAACTAACTCCACTGATTCCCGTTCTATAGTGATATTGACTGTAAGATCTTCATTGACTGTTTGATACACAGGCTGTTCTATATATGGCACCAGATTATTCTCATACGTAATGGAGATATTTGCCTCTATTTCTTCCTCTTCCACTACTAGAGGCAGATGTGTATTTTCGGGTGGATAGGATTCGTCTTCTTCTAATTCAAAAGAAATATTAGTATAACCCGGACGATCACCTGGATAATCCTGTCGGGGCAACAGGCCAGATTCAGATTCGTACTTTTGCTCAAACTCCAGCCTTAGCTCATGCTTTTCCTGGAATCGTTCCGGGACCGGTACAGGCGACGGTTCGACAACTGGTTCTGGAAATTGTTCTTCATATGACAGTTCTTCGAAAGTCATGTTAGCTTCCATACTGATCTCAAATTGTGGTTGTTCATATTCTTGCGGTTCCTCTGGTGCCACATACTCTTCTGGACCAGGACCATACTCATAGGATTCTTGTGTAATTTCAAAGAATTTGTATTCATTATCTAGAGGAGGTGCGAGTTCTACATTCTGCTGAACCTCTACGTCAATCGTGATGTTAACTTCAGTTTGACTTTCATGGACTGGCGGCGGTAGTTCCTCTAAGGGTCCACTAACCAGTCTAATTAGGAGGACAGTGGCATCCAACAATATCCTTATACTTTTAGGCTCTAATGGAACACCTTTGCAAGCTTCGATTAGAGTTACTATAATTTTGGTCTGACAGTAAAGTTCTTCCTCAGACCTCGGCCCTCCTAGTTTAAGTTGTGGCAAGAGTTCGAAGTACTTGTATATGTTGTGTAGAAAGGCACGTTTGAATCCCACCGGAAGCTGGAGACCGTAAACGCATCGTTTAAGTTCTATGTATACATCCCTTAAGACCGGTGTCACACTTCTTGGATGATGCTGAATTTGCCTGGAATCACAAACCCACAGTTTTATTGACAAGTAATGGAGGTTTGTAGCATTATTCCGGATGTTTCAAATTCGACCATTACCGTTGGGATCTCGGAAGCGGTAAAACTACGTACTTGGGTACTTGGGTAATTAAGCAAATGCCGATCAGAAAGGTTCGAAATTCAAAGTACTTCCGGAGAGAGACGGAAAAAACCGAATTTTCCCAAAATCTTTTTCAATTTTTTCCTGGCATTATTTTTAGTAGTAATGTTTTTTGGGCCAGGAAACAAGCATAATATAGGAGAATATCTTTTTCAATGAGCAGTTAATAAGATTCCATTACCAATTGTAAACATTAGCAAAAATTTAGGGTTATGCTTGGACAATGAATTAAAGTAATAAATAAAGGAATAGGTTCAATTAGCAATGGACTGGAAATTTAAAAAAATGCACTATATCCATATCCATAATGTGGCTACTATAACTAATGTTTTTGTAATCTGTACAATACCACGCACAAGCTTGCTTCTGTGGGTTTTCTGTTTATTTACCATTCTAAACGGTGTACGCTTTTATATTCAGTTTACAATATTATCGTTATGTTTTGTAAATGAGCTTTACTCTACTTCACTATATAGTATTCTCAAACAAAAATATCCTCACTCATGAATTCAAGAGTTTCTTGCCATATGTATAAAGGAAATTGTAAAAAGAGCATATCTCAAAAAATACCAAAGTTTATTTTTGGTTCATAAAATTTTACTGAACAAATAAACAAAGCACATTTTAAATAAATTCAACAAATTTGAAGACATCAATAATTTGGCCACCAGAAATCGACAATTATTAGTTATACCTAACACGACACAAAAGACATAAATCCATAGTAATAAATCGCTGATCACTTTATTCGTTACTATCCATTTTTGATCCATTCAAAAAGGTCAATTTCATATTAGGATGCACGGCTGAGTAGAAAAATACCATCATGGTAACACTCCACTGAATCGATTCTCAAAATATTAGTGGCTTATGTTGTATGTTGGACATATTATATAAAATAATCCAATAAAGGTATTTTTTTATTATGTTCCGTCCTCGTCGAAATCAATATCTAGAATATATAACGTAGTACCCTCGTAGCTCGCCAAACCGAATCTCCACACCTTAGCATAACTATGTTATTACGGTATTTGCTTGTTACCATGTAACGGATGGTAATTTTTGACCCTATGTACGTCATATTACCTATTGCTGAAACCCCTAACTTGAGTTGTTACAATGGAAATGTACATTTAGTTGACACATACATTGCGTACAATTTGTGTAGTTGTGTACAACCTATCGTTTACTATTGTAGAGCGTTCGTAGTATGTTGTTGCAACTAGCTTTGAACATCTACGTTATGTATTCTAAGTATTTACTCTGACGAGGACAGAACATAATTACGTGATCAAACGAACTTACCTGTAAGTGATGTTCGATCTTAATTATGTGGAGTAAATAGCTCCACCGCTCCCTATGTATCACCCAATTGTTGCAACAGCTTGGCTTTAAAGAAAATGAGTGTTTATTGGCGACCAGAGCGAAGGAAGTTAGGGGTGGCAAGGTGCCGCTTTCCCTGTTGCGTGCGCGCTTTGAAATCGTGGCTTTGGAGAGCTACGAGGGTGCTACGTTATGTATTCTGAATATTTACTTCGACGAGGCCTTCACATAATTAAGATCGAACATCACTTACAGGTAAGTTGTAAGTTCGTTTGATCATGTAATTATTATTATATAGGCTTTGTTCCTTCCAATCTATTCGAATTCGTTGTTTTACTGCTGTGAGGCTATACAACGGCATAGACCAGCATTGGTGATGACGGTCGCATAGAATTATTGTATCTATCAACTGTCAACTTGCTTGACATGTACTGTACCTCAAAACCTTGGTGTTGATCAGCTCAACTAAGTAGCGAGGCTCTGATCCTCCCAAGGAAACGAAAATGGTTCTGAGGAAGTACGAGACTACCTGGTCGTTGGGAATGTTGTACCCAGCTTCTACTTGGGCGTCGGCCGAGATGCTGTAACCTTGAACATCCTGAAAAAGGGTGATCATAAAAAAGGTTCCCTACACACACATACTGTGTCTTTCAAATTGAATCTCCACTATTAGGATCTTGGAAACGGTGAGAGCTATGAAATCGGGGCAAATTCGAAAAACCCACCTCAGATATTACTACTACTCGTATTTGTTCCTGAAGGCCGAAGTCTTGAAAATTGAGAATTGTTTAACAGTTGTGTACTGAGGTCACTTACCAAGGAATCCTGTGGATACTTCACCTGAAAGGTAATACAAGTACGTTAGATTCACTTTTGTATATTTTTAACTTTAATATTTACGGAGGTCAATTCTTAGCGTAACATAATACCATACTCAATGAGAAATGCTCCCTAAGAAATGATTACAGACTCTGCTAGCTGTTGACATTGATCAAACAAGGTTGTTTATCCATCTATCTTCGGCAAAGGAATATGATCATAGATTTTCATATCGTCAAACGTTTACCTGGATTCTAAATAGGAGAACCATTGTACCCCTAGAACTGCCAGAGTTCTTGAATGGCGTAATTTATTTAGATTTATTTGTAATATAATAACATATAAGCAACAATGAAGTAAGTAGTCCATGCTTTAAATGCCTTTTGCGGTATGTATTTAGAGTGCATAACCGGTAGGAAGAACGTGGATCAATTACTCATCAGCTCCACACTACATATTCAAATTTCCATAACTATCTTACTTCAACTTTCTCAGTAATCGATCACTGCAGTCCTGCGTGGACACCTGTATATTAACACTTCCCTCGTAGTAGTATAGGAAGTCAGTTAATAGAAAAAGTTGTAGAAAGGTTCAACAATTGTAAGATTGAGGACGTGGAAAAACTGCAGGCAAAACATATGCTATGTGGGTCAGAACTAAAGTTTTTTTTTATTTTGGTGAGTACCACTGAAGCTTTCTAAAATTTCAGGGTTCTAGGTCGTACCGTTCATGTTAATTCCCTTAAAGCTTGATGTTTTGGAAAAAGTGAGAAAATGAGCGTTTTGGACACTTTTCCATTTTTTCTGTATACCCGTTCCTGAACCATTGCGTTGTGGTAATTTTTGCGGCAGGTATGTTGGTTGAAAGTATCTTTTTTGTTTAATTTTTCACTGTTGTACTGAGCTCGTAACACGAAATAATTCCTCAAAGTTTCCTTTTTTTGTAAGGAAATTCCATCCTAACCGTAAAGTGAATTCTGTACTTAGACATATAGGAAATAGGTTCCAAATTTCGATATTTCGGCTCAAAATTCACCACTTTCATGAGAATGGGCCATCTCTCGGATCAGTCTTGATTTTCTTTCTGAAGAATACCTGTAGCGGCACGAGACTAGAATCTAAATTTCCTAGGTTGAACGCCTTGGCCTGGAGATACGCTTAATGCTTGACGGTTCGGACAAATTTCGGCATTTTTGATAACGTTTCCATTTTCTCGCTACTGCTCTACCTGAAATGTCTTACGTCTTGAAAATAAGAGAATAAATGACCTTCAAATTGTGATCCGGTAACTTGTTCGGCAGATATTTCAGTCAAAATATCATTAAAGTTATATTTTTGTGGAGAAAAGGAATCCACGGATATTTACGTGAGTTGAATTTTATTGTCGGGCATAGATTTTTTGCGGGTATACCTTGGCCAATGAACATTAAGCTATCTGTTGATATAGGTAGGTATACAGGTATAAGATATAAACATTTTCCAGTAATCAAAAGTTTATCAAATGAGGCATCCCACAGGGAACGATTTTCAACATATATTTGAATGATATATTTCAAATCGATTGTGTGGGCAAAATAATAGGTTTTGCAGATGATACTGCAGACCATTATAAAGGTGATGAAAAAACATAGTTGATAATGGTTTCGGCAGAAGTATTCACTGGACTAAGAAAAACACATCTTTTGCATTTTCTTCAATAGGACATCCACCAAATTACAGAAACATCTATTTTTTCATAAAAAACCAGAAATTGTAAATGAATGGAGTATCACATACGAAATATGTTAGGAATATTACTGAATCCATATCTGCGTCGAGAACCACATCTCTTACAAGTTATCACCAACTATGACAAATTTACTAGTTACAATAAACAAAACTAACACAACCACCTCAACCATCAAGTACGAGGAACGGTTGTATCTAGACCTAACAAATCTATAACATAACGATTGTACCTTTACTTAGGACCAAAATTGTACGCAAATTAACCTGACAATATAAAGAACCTACGCTTTGGGGATAATTTAAAAAAATTAAAGAATGGATATTCCCTTTAGCAATGCCAGATATACACAATTTAATAGTAAATACAAGCACAACACGATTTGTTGATTAATCGTATCATTATTTGTGCTTAATGTTTATACACAATTGCAGCATTGATGGTCCATGGAAAGGCAGTGCCTCCTAAAGACCTTTCTTTCATATTCAATTACCCATTCTCATGTAGTGTTTAAGGAGTAACTAATGTTATTAGTTATAGCTTGGCTAGCCTTTCTGATTAGCTGAAGCTCCGATTACTTCTGCTACTATCATAAAACTCGTAAATATTGAGCCAAGGCATGAAAAATTGAATTTATATTGGGGATAGGTTGGCTCTTCCCCATTACGAAACACACTAATTTTGTTGGTATTTTGTTCTGGAAGGTATTTGAACTGCCAGGTCAATAAAACATTGCAAAAATTTTTATTTTGACCGAAAAAGCTGCCGTACGTATTTTCAAACCACAATTTGGGGTCATCTTTTGGATATGTAAGCTTTAAGAAAAAAGTTGAGCCTGACACAAGATATTACCTTCTGGCCAAGGTTTTGCAATTTTAGTATTGACTTAAATTCTCAAGTTTCCAAAATAAAATGTAAAAAATCTATGGGATCATGCTAAGATGAATGAAAACGTTTACAGTAATCCAAGCGTGAAAATTAAGCCAGTATGACATCATTATAATCAATCGGAACGTCGTCAATCAAAAAACTTTATGTACGATGGAAGTCCGAGAAACAACATCTCATTCATCCACATTCTCATTAAATTTCAAACAACAGTTGAAAAATCCTACCTTGCTGAACTGGAGCCTAGCATGCCCCAAGGCACAAACTGTGGCAACAAGAAGCACCACCAAGATCTGCATGGTGCCTCAGGATATTGCTGCTGGTCACCAACTGTATTGTTGGAGGTGATGATCCAGTGGATGCAGTTCCGCTATTTATATTAGAATCTTGGTCATCGTAAGCAAGATTTTTTTATTGACGATTGTCCTTCTTATCAACAGCATTGTAAAATCTGCTTTAGGTTTTATCAGATTCATTAAAGTGACGATTTAACGACGGGTGTGATAAAACAATGGACTACGGTTGATTGAATTTTTTCACAGGGTGATTTGGCAGTCTCTTCAAATGTATTATTTATTCCCCGACTGCCCCAGGAGGTTTCGCGCTTGAGTATGTATGCAGACAAAAATTCTACATGCTACACGCCAAACGACATGGATTTTTGATAGATTGGTAGTTTCTCATTTCCAAAAGTCTCATTACAGAGTATTGGAATATATAGTCAGGATCGTAAATAGTATATATATAGTGTCCCAAAAGCATGGGCACAACCAAATATCTCGGGTGATAAACAAACTTCAAATACAAATGCTTCAGGAAACCAAATGACGCATCTAGTGGTGACCTTGGATTTTACGTTGTCCTCCACATTGATGGTCATTTCAAGGGAAAGTCGATTTTTTTAGATAGGAACCCCCATCTTTTATTGCAAAAATAGAAAGCAAAAAGAATTATATGAAGAGATTATTTCAATGTCGCTCTTTCATGAAATGTTGTGAAGCAGCGGAAGCTGGAAAATGGAGAGGAACTTTTAATGCGAAAATTACAGAACATCCAATGCCACAACTGATTGTGACCTTCATTTTGACCTTGGCTATGATCTTGAAGGTCCATTCAAGATCAAATTGTTTTTCTTATAGCGGAAGCCTCTATTTTGATCCCAGTGCTGAAAATGTATACCAATCTCACGTTCGAAAGTTTAATTAACGGAGGTAAAATCACACTTACAGGTTGTATCAAGGTCAGATGTCTTATTTGTGTGGATTAGACTAAAGAGACCGATAATCTTTGCAAGTGAAGAAGGAGATATTGGACTGCTTCTTCAAGATATTGAGGATTTTTTATATACCGCAGCAGCCGCGCAGACAGAAACCTAAATGCCGGGACACCGTGGCTCCTATGACGATCCCAAAACAATTTTTTTAATTCGACTTTTGAACTGCCTAAGGTTAGCAAAACTGGGAAAAGTTTCATCTTGCAGATTATCCCACAATCTCGACACCCTCGGGACAAAGGAGCAGTTTTATCGGCCAGTTCTGGATGCACCAAATGTGAGAGCAGTACTCGAGGCTACGCCTTATCTGGGCCTTGTACAGAGTGAGAAGATCATGGGCACAAAGGTACTTCTTAGCACTAAGCAAATAGCCTACCTTTTTCTCAGCAGCTGCCGCTATTGACGAGATGTGTTCGTGCCAGATCAAGTCCTCGATGATCTAGACTCCGACCAGCCGAAGTGAACGGCTCTTTGGCCGAACTAGGCCATCGATCGAAACGGGATGAACGCTAGGACGTTTTTCGTTCGTCACGGTACGGTACTGTGTTTTGGAAGCATTAAACTGTACAAGATTCTTGCGTCCCCAAGCAGCGAAAACCTCCAGGTCTCTCGTCAAAGAGGAAGTCGTCGATAGTCTTCTTTTTTCCAGCTCAGCGACAGAGATCGGCTTGTCACTCTGAATTCCTGCATATAGAGTGCTGTCATCAGCGAATCTGTGAATTGGGTTTATCGTGCAGGAAGAGAGGTAAGGACGTAGTTGATATGAAAGAGGAACTGTGTTGGAGCCAAGACCGATACCTGGGGAACACCATCGTTGACGTTGTGGTATGAAGAGGAGAACCCGCCAATTACGACAGATATATTGCGGCTAGAGATAATTTTAGCCGCCCATGTCCAAAGCTTTGCTGGGAGGCCATATGATGGAAGTTTCCATAAAAGGACTGATCAAACGCTTTCCTGATATCAAGAGCAACGACATGAACCTCACTATAAGACTGGATTAGTTTACTCCACAATTGCGTGACGTAAGCTAGGAAGTCCCCTGTGGATCGCTGGTGCCTGTCGCTAATGAATCTGTGACGTTCCAGGTAGTCACTAGTAGTAGTAAGGTAGTAAAACTATTTCCGGTCGATAAAGGCAAGACAGGCCAATGTCCGGCCAGTGAAGGCGAAACAGGTTTAGGCCCGGTGCCCGGCTATGGCAGGCGAAGTCCAACCAGTGAAGGTTTGAAGGGAATTTTGGATATTGCAAAACCGCAAAGTTATTTTCGAGTACTAAAGGTTGTCGTTGCCTATTTTATCTCAATGCTGTGATCTGGAAACTCTCAAATCATATACTGTTGCTATTTCATCTTTCTCTGTACCTCCTTTAGTGAAACCTTTGAACATGAGGTTTTTCTCCATTTTCAGCGCTAGGCTCAAAATTTTGAGTTTCCATGTGAAAAATCGATTTAACCTTGAATTGACTTTCAAGGTCACCGTCAGGTGGCTGCTGATCCTTTTGAAAGCAGTGTTACTCAATGCGGTGGTACAACTAAATTAAGATTGGGTCCAAGGACTTGGGCGCTACAGTGCAACGAAAACTCTTGCTAAATGTCAGCAAACCTACAGAGACAGTGTTTTGCCAAGAGCCTAGGGTTTTCGGTGGTTTTAAGCGTTTTCAGAAGGGAGAGAATCGATTAAAGATGAATCACAAATCGGAAGGCCTTCATCTCCAAGAGCCGATGAAAATATCGACGGAATCCAGGATCTTGTGCGTGCAGATCTTTTGTTGACAGTCAGGATGATCTGGGAAGAGTTATATTTGAAAGATGCAGATTTTAAAGCAGAATTCTTATTGTATTTTCATATTGTTATGTCTGAGTGCTGATACACCTATTGCAAAATGTACCTAAATAAGTTCATTTTGATGCTGCGATCTTTGGTCAGCATGTGTGATGTAGAGCTGGGTTTCTTTTTGAAGCGGTAATGATGTCTTAATACACAACTAATCAGTCTTAATGAGTACAAAATTAGTCTTGATGTACTATTCATGATACATTGTCTACACTATGCAAAGAAGAATTTTCATCATTCAATTTGTGAGATTTACTCTTGTTCCTCGAGTATTGATACATACTGTTGTTAGTTTTCAGAACGTCATGCCTATAGATCCCCTAAAATGTATTTTAACAAGACCAATTTGTAATGACAGCAAGTATTTTTATAGATTTTCGTTAGATTTATCTCTTCTTAACGTTAACTGAATGGATGTTTTGTTAATTAAAGCATATAACTTTAATCTCTAAATGAAAAATAATAGATTTTTATTTTGATATTTGCTCAATTTAGATTCAAGATTTGACCAAAATTAGTTCTTTTTCGTGCAATATTTCAAGTTGTGTTAATTATTTGAGTCAGTGGAGAAATATATGTTTAGCTACCAATTAATGGCCGAGAGACTGTACAAATAAAAATTATGTCCTAGCAGTATCCGCTTTCTTTTAATACATGCAGTAATAATTATCCAAAGTGTCCGTCAATGATCCATTGTTGACTTAGGTATAGGAGACTGTACCCTTCCCCTAGTACAGAACCGATCACTTGAAAACTTAAAACAAAACAAGTGACGTGAGAAAACTACGCCATAATTTAAAAAAATAGTAATATAAGAAGTTGAAACAAAAAAAAATAACTTTTATATCTTTTTTGTAATATCTCAACAAAAAGTGATCCCATCACTAACTTGTATTCCATGAAAATTCAGTGATGAGAGGAGGGAAAAATAAGTGTAGACACATCCTCAAAATATTTATTTACAGCAAACTAAAGCGTATCCATACAATCCAGTAGTATCCGCCTATCCATTGCCCCTGAAAAAAAAATTGTGCTTGGAACCTGAAAGCTGTACTTAACTTTCTGGAGAAAGCTTATTTTTGGAAATGATACTAAACTATGAGCAGGTAATTATTAAAACAAGATATCAACAAGCAGATGTAACAATAGTTTTGACTTAACTGATGACTGCGTGGGCTCAAATTCACTCTATCAGCAGTAAAATCATATGAAATATGAATGTATCCTTTGGTTAAAAGTTACCTATGCTCCTTGCTTTTGCTTTTTGCAGCATTCAATTTATAATAGTCTTTTAACTTTTCGGAAAGTGTGCTCGGCTTTGAAGTTGCTTCTGAACTCGTTACGCCTGATATAAGTCCACCTGACAACGGCATGGCCACATAGCATCCCAGAGCTCGCATAATCCGACTTCTAGAATCCGACGAGATTTCACCATTTAGTATTCTTTCTATTAGTATACCTAATGCTTCATCTTCTGGCACACCTAAAATTTGTAATTTTTTCAATATACAACGCGTTACAGAATGTTGTCAGGGAGGCTCAAGACATTTAGCAAATTGAAAAACAAAGTGACCTCAAGTAGGTCGATCCAGCACTTTACATCATTACATATAGGATCAGGTTCGGAACAAGTTGATCCCTCTGATAAAAAGATTAGCTACGAACATGTATATAAAAAAATTAAAATGGATCAAGTTAGTCAAGCAGGCTCATACAATTAGGATTTGCGTATTAATCATACTTCTCTGGAAAATTTTGGAGCTCTTTAGGATTTAGCTTCCTGAGAAAATATGTTACCCCTATCTCTGAAAAACGTTTTGGAGGCAGGTATGCTCTCACACAAAGTTATCTCTTACAAAAATTTCAGCGGCCGCATATGATTGAAAGTATGCTTTTTTTTATTTTATTATATTCTATTATATGCTATGTATTTATCTCATGTATGAAGGACACTTCAATTTTAATTTAATTTTATTCTATGCTATGCTTGATGTATCCTTGGCTTTATTGTTCACAACACAAAAGCAACTACCAGTTTTGTAATGTCATTTTAGTTGTATTGTCCTTTACCATAGATGTACCCTTTTAACGTATTATTTTTGTTTTTTAATTTATGTTATTTATTATAAAATTTATTTAAAGTGCCACAGTGTCAGTTCAAACTTTTGTTCTGCCAGTGATCCTGTAACACCAAATTATGTCAGTGCGTGTGTTAGAACCACATAGTTCATCAGCAAATTCTTGATAGACTTCATTTATAACTGCGGATATGCAATTTACAATACTGGGATGACCCCACCCAAGATTTGTCTTTCGTGGCATTTTTTTTTATTTGTCGTTGATACTCCTTTGTTGCAACAATCTTTGAAATTTATATTTTTGTAGTTGTATTTAGCAAATAAATAATGATTATTATTATTACTATTACGATCGATGGTTCACAACAGGCGAGCAGCGGAGGCCGACTGCTACACATATTAAGCATAGTACAGGAATGTACACTTGAGTGCTTTATATCGTAGAACTGGAAAACTATAGAAAATATATTAACTGCTTAAATAACGAAATGTATGGAGAATGCGGATATTATGTTTAACGTGTGCGCATTATTAGTGGGATCGGATGCTTGTTAATAATAATAGAAGTGAGCGGGAGTCTCTGAAAAGTTAACAAACGTAGTTTCACTGATGTTGCAATTTTATTTTGCCCATGGCTTTGCCGCCACTGGCTTTTTGAACGGTTTTTCTATCCTTGGCATAACAGTAAGCGTGTGTGTCAAAATCTCATTCAAATTCGCGATGCTTTAAAAATAGGCAGAAGGGCCAATGGAAATGTGTGACATGGCATTTTATGATGTAAGTCTCCTGTAACTAACATCCGAAAAAACATAATACCTTTTTTAAGTGTTTGGCATAGAAAGTTAGCCCGTCAGGTGTGTTAGAGTACTTCGTAGAGCTCCGGGTCTAAATCTCAAATTACACCAAGTGTCTTAATTTGATTCAATAAACGTTCAATGAAACAATGAGTTTCTGTGGGGCAACCCATAGCATTTGAGTAGTTAAATACCTTTTTTGGAAGGATTTTCTGGTTCATCTGGCCTTTCTTCATAACCTTTCCCTCCCGGGTATATCCAAAGTCCTAAAGGTTCCTTAGATTGGTTTGGTCTTTCTCCAAAATATTTTCCTCCAGGGAATATCCAAAGTTTTGATAGTCGCTCTGGTTGCGTCAGTCCTCCAAAATATTTTCCTCCAGGGTATGCCCAAGGTTTTGATAGTCCCCCTATTTGGACTGGCCTTTCTACAGAATGTTTACCTCCCGGGTATGCCCAAAGCATTGATGGTCCTTCCGGTTGGATTGGTCTTGGTCCCTCTGGCTGCATCGGCCTCTCTTCAAGCTGTTTTTCTCCCGGAAATGCCCAAGGCTTAGATGGTCCCTCTTGGTGGATTGGTCTTTCTCCAAAATCATGTTTTCCTTCAATTTCTGATCCCCGGTAGACCCAAAGTGTGGGTGGTGCCTTCGGTTGAATTGGCCTTTTTTCAAAAATTTTCCCTCCCGGGTATACCCAAAGTTTTGATAGTCCCTCTGGGTGGATTGGTTTTTTTCCAAAAATTTCTTTTCCCTCCGGGTCTACCAAAGGTTTTGATTGTTTCTCTAGTTGGGTGGGTCCTTTTCCAAAATCATTCCTATCTACCCAAGCTTGTGATGAACCCACTGGTGAAATTGTTTTTTCTCCAAAACCTGTTTTAAATTCCGGGTAAGCCCAAAGTGTGAAAACTCCCTTCGGCTGGGCTGGCCTCTGTCCAAAATCTTTTCCTCCCAGGTATTGCCAAAGTTTTGATGATTTTTCTAGTTGGATTGGCTTTTGTCTAAAATCCTTTTTTCCTTCTGGATATACCCAAAGTCCTAATGGTCTCTCTGGCGCAATTGGTTTTTCACCAAAATCTTTGTTTTTCCCCGGATATATCCAAAGTGTGGATGGTCCCTTCGGTTGTTTTGGTCTTTCTCCAAAGATTTCATTCTCTTGCGGATCTACCAAAGGTTTTGATTGTTTCTCTAGTTGGACTGGTCCTTTTCCAGAATCATTTCTATCCACCCAAGCTTGTGATGAACCCACTGGTGAGATTGTTTTTTCTCCAAAATCTGTTTTAAATTCCGGGTAAGCCCAAAGTGTGGAAGCTCCCGTCGGCTGGGCTGGCCTCTTTCCAAAATCTTTTCCTCCCAGGTATTGCCAAAGTTTTGATGGTTTCTCTAGTTGGAATGGTCCTTCACCAAAATATTTTCTATCCGGATACACCCAAAGTTGTGGTGAACGCTCTGGTTTTTCTCCAAAATCTGTTTTTGATCCCGGGTGAATCCAAATTGTGGGTGGTCCGTTCGGTTGAATTGGCCTTTTTCCAAAATTCTTTCCTCCCGGGTATACCCAAAGATGGGTTGCCTTCTCTCCGAAATCTGCTTTCGCATCTGGGTATTCCCAAAGTTTTGATGGTCCCTCTGAGTAGATTGGAGTTCTTCCAAAAATTAATGCCCCTTCCGGGTCTACCAAAGATTTTGATGGTATCACTAGTTGGATAGGTCCTTCACCAAAATATTTTCTATCCGGGTATATCCAAAGTTGTGATGAATCCTCAGGCGCAATTGTTTTTTTACCAAAATCTGTTTTTGCTCCCGGATAAACCGAAAGTTTGGATTGTCCCTTCGGTTGAACTGGCCTCTTTCCAAAACCTTTTCCTCCCGGGTATACCCAGAGTTTTGATGGTCTCTCTGGTTTGATTAACTTTTCTCCAAACTCTGCTTTTGCATCTGGGTATAGCCAAAGTTTTGATGGGCTCACCGGGTGGATTGGCCTTTTTCCAAAAATTTCTTTTCCCTCCGGGTATACCCAAAGATTTGATGGTCCCTCAGGGTGGACTGGTCCTTTTTCAAAAATTTCTTTTCCTTCCGGGTATACCCAAGGTTTTGATTGTCCCTCCAGTTGAATTGGTCTTCCTCCAAAATCCTTGCCTCCCGGATAAGTATCTTTTTCTCCGGAGTATACAGAAACTTTCCATGGAGCTCGATTTTGATTCACTCCCTTTGTGTGAATAGTAGGTTTTGATGTACTTTGCTGTTGGGGTGAATGTAAGAGTTGTAATTTATGTTGCGGAAAAGAGGTTTTCGTTTTTTTCTCCATTGGGCCTCGTTTTTGCAGATCCTCCGACTTAGCTGAGGGCCGTTCTCTCTGAGGAGACTCAGTTGGTTTAGATGAATTGCTTTCTTCAGAGGGTGCTGGATGTACTGTTGGATCTAGATCAAACTGTATATTTTGGTATTGTTGTTTCGAGTCACCAACTGGTCGTGCTATTGGACTTTTGCCTATTGGTGGTGCTGAATCTATGGTTGGAAGTTCTTTCTGTGGTGCGATTTGAGTTTCTTGCTTCAATTTATCTAGCTTAACGGGTTCCGCAGATTTACTTGGTGCTTTGTGCTCCATATTTTGAGATGCTGCATGTTCTTGTGGTTGTTCAACCTCATGAGATATATGCGTTGTGTTCCATTGGGGTGCTCCAGCAGTGATGTTTTCTGTAATAAATCAAAAAACAAAACGGATAAGTTAAGCATCATCATAGTCAAGCTACTGGAAGTACATTCAACGAAGCTGAAAATGTCATAATTATGTATTGTCTAGTATATGGTGTAAATCCTGAATGAATAGAGTTAAATAGAATTCAAAATGTCAGAAAGGTCCTTTGATCCAGGGATAGAAGGTGTGATGAATATGCGGTTTGCAAGTGTTCTAGAGCATGGCCTGTGTACACAGTTCAAAAGAAGAGGTTGTACCAAGAGGTTGCTCAGTTGTTTCGTTTTTCTTGAGCAGTTTGAACAACATCCTCCTAGGAGCTGGGTCTTCCTGTGAAATCCTCCGAGCCTCGCCCATGTTCTGTAATAAACCAGAAAGCAAAACTGTTACATGCTATACAACACATAGTGGAGACAGAAGCTGAGCAAGGAATCCTCGGATAAAATAGACCAAAACTCAATAATCCAAATGATGTTATTATATCATGAAAAACAGTTTACAGTACAGTTTTCTTGAGGCACCACGAGGCGAAACAAGCGCGAGAGTGTACATGTACATGGTAGGGCATAAAGACTTTCCTAAACTAATCATACGTAACGCCATTTTAAGTCAAGGAGTTGTAAAAACACATCATTTAAGTGTGCACCTCAATTATTGATACAGTGATAAGTTTCCATCTCCGTATCATGTCAGGCGGAATGGCAGCAATTTCCTCGACCACGTAAGACTGTCACGAGTCTGGGAGCGATGTTGGCGTACCTTTTCCTTAAGGTAGCACCAAAGGAAAAAATCGCTTATGGTTAAGCTCGGTGAGGGCGGAGGCCACCCGATGCTACTATGCAAAAAAACCGTTTACTTAGATTAAGTACACCAAATTATTCAAAATTAATGTAATATTAAAATGAGTTTACGTGCTCCTGGTAAAATAGTTTAATTGTATTTATGAAATGTTTGATTAGTTCAGGAAAAAGTGTTGGCCCAGCCTATGTATTATTTTAGTTAAATTTAAAAGTGTATTTGGATAATGAATGATGTATTTATTATAACAACTCTGGCAGATCTTAGATATCAGACATTTTGGAAAATTTTTTGTAACTCTAACAAAATTTGTTATTCCATTAATTGCATATATATATATATATATATATATATATGGGACCAAGTCTCGCCAGTTATCTGTCTGATTGTCCAGAAACAGGTTATATCACCATTCACTAGAAGCAACCCTACACCAAGCTGAAGAGTTGCCAAATAGCACGGAACAGCTGTCCATGGTTGTCCGTCTGTGGTCGGAATAATGAAAGCTATATTACTAGTTTGTACAAAAAAGTACAATGATTCCAACACTTATCTCAAGCACGACCCTTCTTTTGTTCAAAAGATTGTTCAGGATCCCATGCCTATACCCATACTCATCACCCAAACAAAAAAACTCACAAAATACCCTGCTTTTACGAGGATTTGGTGATTTTACAAATTTCATTCTACTTTACTGTTTAAGTTAAAATCAAACGTCTACAATTATATTAACAATTGCTATAATATTTAGTTTTATGTTTCGTTTGATAATTAGTCGCTAATTTTTAGATATGGCGTTATTAAAACAAAAATTAATGCTTTAACAAAACGATATTTTTGTTTTATATTGTAAATTTCTGGTGACCTCCGTGGTACGTCATTACTACACCCCTAGGGGGTCTCGAAGCACTGCTGTATGATACCAGAAATACTAGACAGCCCAATATTTGGTAAAACGGCAGACTAAGGAACGAGTCACGGTCACATGAAGTCACAAACATAGTTAAGTTGCGAGACGAGTAGTATCCAACCAGTGTTGTATTTATACTTCCTATGATATTCATACATAACTAAAGTGAATACTTACCGAGCCATCTTCTACCGCCCAAATAGTTCCGCATAGCAACACGAGTATAAAAATGTGAGTACTGTTCATAACAGATACTACTAAACCTATGGAACATAAACTACTGCTTATGATATCCAATGCAGTTGAATTAATTTAAGAACTACAAAACTGTAACTCAATTTATTTCAAATATATCGTAGATTATGATTTCTGCGTTATTCTATGGATTTATTTTGATTCAATAGCAGGATATTCCAACGTTATCTTAAATTGAATTTAATGCCCACGTGATGAATTATACGCAACAAACAGAACAATGCTTAAAGAATGTTTGGTATAAAAGTGAAACACAAGGTAGCAAGTATTACAACGCCAACACACCATAGAGTGTTTTCTCGGTACTGCTCCTCAAACGGTGTAGCTTGTGAGATTTGGTAGCAAGTCACGAAATGCCGTGTTATACGGGGTATGTAAATTAAGTGATGACACTGGCAACGTAGCCTTAGATCTGGCAACAATCGAGGCGCCGGGAGAGACAGGGGAAACGTGTGAGCCACCTTCAATACAAGTTTGCACTCCCTCGAATAATTTTGTTGCCCGGAGGGATTTTTTTTGTGAAGCAGATTTTCCTATTTTGTCCTAAAAATGAATGACATCAATTTTGAGCAACGGTGTGCTATCAGGTTATGCTGCAGACTTGGGCGTGGTTCATCCAAAACTGTTGCTGAAGAGCCCAGGTTTTTCGGTAATTGAAGGCATTTTTAGAAGGGACAGAGGCGATTGAAGATGAACCACGAAGCGGTATCTGCAAGAGCCGATGAAAATAGTGACAGAATCCGGGATCTTGTGCATTCAGATCGTCGGATGACAGTCAGAATGATAAGAGTTAAATTTCACTCACACTACCGTTCATCAGGTCAAGAATAAGTGGGTGTTGCATCACGATAATGCTCCTTGCCACACAGCAATGTCAGTAAAGAAGTTTTTGGCCAGTAAAAACATTCTTGTAGCTCTCCAGCCTCCTTATTCGCCTGACTTGAGTCCTTGTGACTTTTTTCTCTTCCCGGAGTTGAAAAATCACCACATTATTATTATTATTACGGACCGATGACAACGTTGCGTTGGAAGTGCAGAGTCTTGTGATTAACGCATTTTTTTAGTATGAAATGGCTGTGGATGTCGATAACGTTTCACAGACTCTTGTTATATGTTACCAGAAACATATATTTTTTTCATTTACTGTTTTTCAAGTCCTCTCTATTTCCGTACGTCGTACATGGAATCAAATAGAGTAAGGGCCTTAACCGTAGCCCCTTTATGGCCTTTTTTCTATCTTCCCAAGACGAAAGTTCAACAAAATCCGCCAAATAAAAGTCACTATTAACGGTCCTCCCGGTCTGGCCCGACTGCTATTATTAGGAAGAATTAGAGATCCTAATATATAATTACAATTAAGAAGAAACAGTTTAGGGAATAGAGTTATTGCTGTCTGGGTGGACAGTGCCTTATAAATAGCTGGAGTGGACTTAAAGCTACGACAAATGGCCGTGTAATTTCGTGAACTGATGTCTTGGGCATTTAAGCATTTATGTCTCTTTTTTGCTATGGTCAGTGGCAGTGCCAGAGTAATTGAGACCTAGCTTTATGATGCTTTATGAGATTACAGCAAAAGCTAGTTCTTATCCTACCAGATCAGACACGATATTAGTCTCAATATTTAGATTTTGAGATGTAATGCTTAACGTGTTCGATGATGCGCTTTACTCATGAAGTCGACGTTCCAACATTTATTTAACGCCTTCTGAGCCTCACAATGAGAAAAATGTATTTCGACAAAAAACTGATGTCTGAAAATGAGAAGCAATCTCTGAAACGTTGTAACAGTATATTCCAGCGATTTTATTTCCATTGCCTCTGAATCAAAATCTACGACTACCTGAACTATGGAAAAGTTGAACTCGCGGTTCACAAGTTTTCTGGTGCTTAAAGATATTTGTATCACACAAGTCCATGTTTCTCATTTATATCGGATCATAAAATACAGAAAAATATATGTGTAGACATAAAAACGGTCAGGCCATCATTTACAAAAGCATCGCAGAACTCCAAAGTGATAGATACTCCTAATATCCAAATGTTGCTAAAATATATAAATATTTGTCCTGAAGCGGTGTGTCAGTGACGACACATTGCACATTCGGCAGTGGCCACCACGACGATGCAGCATTACGCCCTATGCGTAACGCCAACGATTGCAATTTCGAATTATGGGTAGATTACACATCGGACTTTTGTCATTTAATTTTCCCATTGTTACCTAGATAGCATCGCAAGCTCTCAGGCACCTGAACGTAATCGTTCTCGAAGCTTCGCAAGCTGCGATACATGATAGTGTACCCCTGGTTGCCTAAATAAGCGTGCGCATTTTCCAGCTACCTAAGGCTCCAGTTACGAGGGAGACACAATATTACCTACCTTAAATTTGGATTTGAAATACTTCTTTTACCAAAAGATGCACAAGTTTTGAGAGTAACTAAAATGGAAATTGTTAACGGCCCGCTTAAAATGTTTCGCTCTTCCAGTTGGCCCAATTTTTGAAGAAGTCTAGCACTCCTAGTGTACACGAAAACAACAAAATGGCGGATTTGTATTTCAGACGGAAGTCCGTAACTTGTTTATTGTCACTGTTTAAGCCCATTTGCTTGAAATTTTCTCTTTAACTTTGAAATAGGTTTTTAACTTTTTGCATAATTGGACCACTGTGCACTGGGTTAAAAAATCGATGCAGTACACATGCCTAGGACGTATTTTTGCACGAGGAAAGAAGAAGCTGGCTATGCGTGCGTAACGTCAAAGCAATTATCTGCAGCTCATTGGTCAAACACTTTGCCCGTTCATTATCGATCTGAAATCTATGCGCGTGCAGCATTTTTTATAGCAAAAAGCGTTTGCCAACCATATAGGCCTGTTTGGGTTATCCAACTGTATCCGTATAGGGCAAAAAAATCTGGGACAATGATGTAAAGTAATGGCATCGATAAATATCTCAGAAATAACACATTTTGAGACTTGGTAATCTACAAGAAATATAGAAAAAAGGATGTTTTGCTGAATTCCACCAGTCAAATTTTCACGCAATGCAAGGCATAGTATATGCCAAGGATGAAAAACCTTTGTAGTTTTTGAAAATCGGTCTAAGGCCAAAAACGAGAAAATAAAAATCGTCCAAACCTCGTTGTTTGACGCTTTAGAAGCTCCTCCTCCTAGCAAAGTATTTGCATTTCTCGTGTGTCTATTGCGGGTCTCAGGTTCCCTTTCTTCGTGCAAAGAGCGCCGCCTGTGTATCTCTGTATCGCTGACGTTCTCGATCTCGAGTAACAGCAGCGTCTCAGCAGTCGTCGCATGAAATGTGTAATTGTATACGAATTATCATATATTATCATACACAGTGACGTAGCATGGACTTATCTATTAAGAAGAGGCACTGTGATTGCAGCGTTCAGGTTCAGGAAGACGTCGATGTCACGGGACGGGGGCGATACCTGCGATTGCCTGAGCTCTTTCAGGACTTATTTCCTGACACAAAGAATTGTACCGATTCGGAATTTATGTATACAAGATCTTCAATATGCACCTATTGGAAACTTGAAAGCTGTCACATATAGACATTCCTTAAGGATTGAGTGACATTTGAGTGATAATCTCCCCTGAGATTTTAAACAATTAAAAATGGTTCCTTGAGGAACTTTCAGGGAGAATTTAGCGTTTGCAGTTAACAGTAGGCTGTTCAGTCTCACAAGTTTTCAAAATTTAGAAAGGTTTCAAAATTCACAAAACTACCGAAAAAAAATTTGATATTTTAAAAGCCTCGAAGATTTTGCACGTTCTGGAAAATGAAAATACGAAAATCTTAAAGACCCTAATCTTGAAAGTCATGAAGAACTTGTATATTTTTAAAATCATGGAATTTTTGAAGGCTTTGAAGATATTAAAGATTCCTAATTTTTTTGAAGAATATCACAATTCAAAGTTTTGGAAATGGTGAGAGGTACACTTTAACTCCTTCCTTGAAGGTTCCTCGAAGAAGATTTATTGTTCAAAAGGAGTTATCATCCCTCAATCCAGAAGGAACGTCTACGAATATGCACCGGAACGTCTACGAATATGCCCCTTATGTACTTTACACCACTTATATTCATTCTAGTGAATCTACATCACCATTTACCTAGTCGCCTCTCTCAAAATATGAAGCTTCATCATTTCCTCGCGCCCATAAACTTTTCTCTGAAATTTTCCATGCATCAACCTATGCACTTCCCCCAATTTACTCACTTGTTTGTTCCATTCGAGCGAACTGCCCTAAAAAACCCATCAGTGTGTTTACACGGCAGATGTACCAATCACATTTACATATCATCCTTTTTCCCTTTTTAACCGGCGAAAGTTGGAAACAACTTCCGGTTCCGCTGAAAGCGGCGTATCGTTTTAAGATTGATGATAGTGCTGCTCTGAAATGCATATATTTGAAAAATGGAGTGCGGAGTAGTACGGTCAAGTGATATTGATGAGCCCATCTGCTCAGGCGGGTTTTTGCAACCGGAGACAGTTTACAGATTGATTTCTGATCCGGAGAAAGAAACAACACATGTAGAAAATGAAGTGGTGAGCTTACGTATACCGGGTGTTTGGAATCCGACCCTCACCATTAGGATTTCGGAAACGGTAAGAGATAAGTAAGTCGCTTAATTGGGGTCAAAGTTGCATATTAAGATAACTAAAAAAATGTCGACATTCAAAGTACTCCCGGAGAGAGACGGAAAAACGCGAATTTTCCTAAAATCATGTTTTTCCGACTTTATTTGTAGTGTGATTTTAAAATAAATTCCACATTAACATTGGCACAATTTCAATATGACGTTTCGTATTATTTATTTTGGACGCCATATTGGACTTTTGCACAGATGAATAGAGTCTTTTATTCTGATTTATTACGTCATATACTGACATTGCCAAATCTTAGTTATTTCAAAGAAACCAAATTTCATAGGTAGGCCTGAAATTATCAGATAGTCATTTTTTTCGTAGATTTATCGGAAAATCGTTATTTGTTTTTCCTGACTTTACTTGAGATGGAACTTCAAAGTGAATCATATCCGTACTCGGTTACTATATTCAATTTGAGGTCTCA